CAACAACAAGAACAACAACAACAAGAACAACAACAACAAGAACAACAACAACAAGAACAACAACAACAAGAACAACAACAACAAGAACAACAACAACAAGAACAACAACAACACCAACAACAACAACAACACCAACAACAACAACAACAACGACAACGACAACAACAATTTCCACTCAGTGCAAATTCATTATGGCAACAACATTTGCCAGCCGGAGTTCAGTCATTTACTGTTCAATCATTGCTTAATCTTCAAACCTTAAAAAATATTACTAATCAACAAGTTCACCATAAACATCAGGAACCTTTAACCTTAGATATGAATTCAAACATCGTTCAACAAAGAAAATCTGATCAACTTTTCCCACTCTGGAATATCTATCAATCAACTGATCCACCATTGTCAAAAGCTGAACAACGCCTCAAGAAATGCTGCTCCAAGCTGAATGAAGCAGATCCAGAATGCAAGAAACATTTTTGTGGTTTCGATGCATTAGAACCTCAAACGGTTCTCGTTTCCTAATAAAAATCCATTTCAATCCGATTTGCTACAATTATAAAGTTTATTAAAAATAACGAGAAAACAGAAAAAAAAAAAGACATCGAGAGATCAGAAAGGAAATCTATTATTTTTTACTACTCAAAATATCTCAAATAGGATCTTCTTTTAATGAAAATAAGAGAAATTCAAGACAGATATGAATAAAGAAATGATCGTTAGGTATTTTTTGACCTTTAAATTAGCCTCAATTGCGTATAAAATACGAAAAATTAGAGAAAAATTAGTAGCAAATAGATATATAATAAAAATATCGATTATAAATCTCTAGCAACAAGTTGAATATCATTTCCAGGTTCTCTATTACCTGTTAACTTGTCAATCACGAGGTCCAACAGTTGGTCAAATGTGGGATTGCGCTTCATCGAGACAAAATCATACAGACTGTTGCATTCAAAAAGGGGTACTACCGATATGTCAAGTTTACTGCGAAACAACTAATGGAGTACCAACAGATTATGGTAAATACTTTTTCTGCTTGGGCAATTTCCGTCAGATACGTGATTGTTTCCGAGAACATTTGGAAACGCATCATAACCTATACGGTGATTGGTAATAAATTTTCAGTTTAAGTGAGAAGTCTTCTGAAAGAATTTCGTAAAAATTTTAATTTTCCAGCAAATCAATTAAAGAAAATTATTCTAAGCAAAAACATACTTTTCGGCCTTTTTATTTTACATATATATCTCAAACATTGACTTCGAAATAACTTCTTGAAACATTACTACCTCAAATCTTCTTCAATTCCTTCCTATCCTCACAATAAAAATACTGTCGCTTCTGTATAATTCCACCGTACCATGCATAACTCGACAGGCATCCACACATCAAAACATATGTTTACATAAGCATTTAGCTAAAGATCAATCTATTTTATATATCTGATGGATTCCTCCTCATTTTCAATACATAATGGAAAAGGAAATTCTCTGCCATTGTAAATCTGTACATTTCTCATATCTCCTTTTATTGTGCTAAAGATATGATCTTTATCATTCGCACAAAATTCCATACTAATAACAGTACTTGCTAACAATCTTATCATACTGATATGCTGAAATTTTCAACTCATGATAGTGATACAATTCCAATAATTGATAGAAGAGATTTCTGATTCTACAGTATATAAATATGTACTCATTTTGTAAATTAAGTCATAATGGTAATATGAATAAAATAATAATATTTCAGTGTCATTCAACATATAAAAAAAGAAAAACAAAAAACAGCAGATAATAGAAGTTACAGATGACAATAAACTTCTTCGACATCCAATTAGAAAAATTACATATAAATAAAAGAGGCTCGAAAAAAGGCACTTATCAATATAGGCTGCAGCGATATAGAAAAGGACCGTGACTCTAAATTATTTTATATTAGTTGAGGAGGAAAAATCCTCAAAGTCTTATGTTTATTCTACTACGAATAATTCATCAACATCCGTAGATGGGAGACACTAATTCCATTGATAACTTTGACCTGCATGCTAGCCTAATTTATTGCGCATTCTTGCAAATCCAACCTTCCTCAAAGCCTATAGGCCTGGTGCTATAGTTTTGCTTAATTTCCAATGTTGTCCACAAAATGACCTACTGAATCCTCTGCAATTTACACACATACATTGGACCACAGTTTAAAGGTAAAAAAGGAAGTATAAGAAGACCTCTGCGTGTCTTATCACTGAACCGATATATGTTTTTAAAATTTGATACCATTTGTGATAATGACAATTCCACCGCCTGTAATGCAGTTCAATTTTCCATTGTTAATTGTTCAAAACTAAAAATAAAAATGCATTTTTTAAGATAATGAAACTATTTTACTTTTATTCCAAAATGTTCATCCGCTATTGCTACACCATTTTCAATAACTCCATCGTTTTGCACTGGAGACAAGGTGCATGTTGAATAAACAATACAACCACCGACTCGAACAGATCGTAAGGCATTGCTGAAGAAATTCGTTAAAAAAGCTTATCATATCGTCACGATTATCTAATTGTAGAATGCAGAGAGTTCATTAATAAAAAAAGTAAAATTCTAAACGTCAAACTGCATGCTGTAATTTATGTAACGATTATACTGCAAATCCACAAACATCGACATACTTGCAGTATATATGAAACTTTCCGGATTATATTTTGCAATGTTTCGACAACTCTTGAAGTTGTCAATCCTACAAACACTACAAGGCCGGATTTAAAAAGAGCCTAAAAAAATTACTGGAAAATGAATGTAAAAAAGTAAAATTCATAAAAATGCATTGAAGATGATTATCAAATTCAAACTTACACAAGCATTCGTGTTTGTACTTGTGGTAAATTCAAACGTTGCTCAGTCAACTGAGTAGAGTATAGATTACCATCATCTCTGTTCACCGAAAGACGATCCGATGTGCATGGTACATCCACCAGAATCTTAACATTACATATAATGCCATGTTTATTTTCAAATCAAATAATTATGATACTTTATAATTTGAATCCACAAAAAAAAAACTTTAATAAAACAAAAGAAAACACGAAAAAAAAAGATTGATCTCATACATTCCGTTTTGATATTATGCAAATGCGCAACAACAGCAATAGCCTACCCTGTCATAAAGATTGCATTCATCCCAGCCATCCAACTCCGATGCATCTTTCCTTTTCAATATTATCCGATCAGCAATATCTAAATTTGCCGGTATATATTGTCCCAACGCTCGATGTAGCTGACCTAAGCGGCTTTGCTTATTGTCGTTGCATGTCAACTTTGCTTTAAAAAAAGTATGTATAAATGCAAATTTGAAAAAATTCACAATGTCTTTAAGCTGATGGAATCATTCAAAAGATTATAGAAATTTTCATTATGCATAAAAATAATCACATAGGCTTTCTTGAAAAGACCTGAATTTTAAACTTAAATTAACTAAACTGAATAAAGCAAATAACTAACCCATCAAATCAGTCTGCACGATTAGAAGGCTTTTCCCACCAGGTGCAGCACACATGTCTAAAATATTTGACTCCTCGGTTAAACCCAAAGCTAGCACTGGTGCAACTGAACCACCATCAAGGAGCCACCAACCTAAAATAAATAATATAAAATACTATAAATTGTTTAACCCACAAATAGTTGATTATATATATACTGTTAGTAGGAGAACTCAGTAAAATATATAAAACTTGATATATTAAAAGTTCACCTGGAGTTCCAACATCATCTTTTGGAGGAGGTGGATAATCAGATAGATCACCTTTTGGAAAAGAGTATATGGCCAGTTCAGCCGGATATGTTAACGTATGATTTTTTGTCGGTAACTCAGCATACTGTCCTTCAAAACCAGTGATACTGAAACTGTTGAGTTATTTTTGCTAATTTAAAATGCAAAATTTGGTGGTAAAATGTAAATTTTAATAACGAATATCCGCGTACTAAACTTCACATTCAAGTATAGGAAATGAATAATGATATGTTTAAGCAGAATTTATTAGCAAAATATTGAAGCGTAAAATTGAGCAAAAAAAATTGGCATAATAAATATTAGAAAAACAATGATCATTAAAAATGTCTTACTTAATTTTCCTAATATTTACACCTTTCGATGACTGACTTTTGAAACGTGACTGCTCTTCTAACGAGGCAATTTCACCAGACCGTCGAAAATGTGCCAGCCCTCCCTCACCACGTAAATATACAGAATCCAATTCACTTTTATCCTTTATTAAAATGAAAATTTAATTTCTCCAATAGAGAGTATTTTATCGCAAAAACTCTCATAAACATTAAATATTTCAAAACATACAAAAATTTTTTTGTATAATTTATGAAATCTGAAAGTCTTAAGTGGTACCAAGTTCGAAATATTATAAATAAACAACCTTTTGTGTAATTACTGAATCTTCACCTTCCGACGTGTTGTCTGACAGTATCGGTTCTTCGTACTCCAATTGAACATTATTTTTTTTGGTAACTCGTTGCTGAACTTTTTCCAAAATATTAAATGCACCAAGATCTTTTAACAATGTCTCATTCTGCTGCCGATTTCTATAAAAGAATGGAAGAATAGTGCATGGAAGTAATGCACAAGAAACGCTTTAAAGTATAGAATAGATAAAAATGAAATCAAAAATCAATTTTATGATTCTTATCTTATTCATTGAAGGGATTTTTTTTGTAGAAAGATAAATTTTGAAAATTGCCAGTAATTTTGAAAACTTGTCATTAATTAACCTTGAAAATTTATTCAAAACAGCGAAATATTTATTCGGTGTAAGCAATCCTAAACGTATCGATGGCCAGTAATTACCATATACCGGTCCATAATAAAAATCGAAATTATCCATAGCAATCATTGTTGGCGTTTTGAGTGGTCGTATTTTCGCATACTTTTCTTTGAACATTTTGGAAGCAAAATGTCTTTTTAACGTAAATTTCGCCGATACACACAGCGGTGATGTTATGTCGATGATTCGTTTACCGATCATAAAACACGACATTTCTAAAATTTCTAATGGACATGTTATTTTTGCGAAAAAAAAAATCTAAGAGAAACTCCTAGTACATTAAATAATGCTCTTGAACTTTACCAAAATGCCTCCAAATTTTACATAAAATGAAGTCAGGTGATTTTATCAAGCACGCCGAAACTTCACATCAAATGCTTTCGAATTTTTATATCAAGCTCCTCATACTTCACATAAGACAATTCCATGACTTTTATTAAGCATTCTGAAATTTCAAATAAAAGTTTTTAATTGCTAATAGGTTTGTTAATGAAATAATTAACAAGTATGAGCCACTGAGAGATTCCGATATATAAAGAAAGGTAACATTTAACATGCATTATTTTATAACTTTTTTTTTTTTCATCATCACCATCCATATCAAACGATTCACAAATGCCACAGAAATATTTATTGTATTCTTTCTTCATTATTAATCGATCAATCGATCGATCGATTCATTGCTCAGATACAAAGTCTATGTTAAATAAAAAATGAAAAAAAAAGAATGAAATGAAGAAATAATACAACAAAAACTTCTATTCAATCATTCCTCAATAAACTTCTCAGAAATCTTCAAATCATTTTTCGATCATTTTTCGCTTAAATCCAATCGTTCAACTTTCTCTCCATATTTCGTAGAGCAGAAAAAAACATTACGGAAATGGAGAAAAAAAAAACAAACAGCAAAGGGGAAACCGGTTTCATATTTCCGGTTTTTTTTTCTGTCTTGAAAGGCCGTTCAGTATTCCACGGCTACTTGCAATTTTAGATAAATTGTTTGGCGGATGATGACGGATGTTCCAGCAGCAGTGTTATTAAACTTCATATGTGTTATGGCATGCATCATTTACCGAAAATACTTTGTAAAATTCGACAGGAATTCCTACAAAGTTAATCACATAACACGTAACAGGTATAGGTAGCATCAGTAATGGTTTATTGTTGAAATAATTGGAACAAAATAATTTTAATCTTCTTGTAAATGAGAATAACGCGTTGAGTGAATTGGAATTTATGTATTCAGTGAAGATATTTGTGTGTCGCATAATTAGTCGGATATATTTAATATATAATTAATCAAATATATGTATGATTTTCGAGTTTTCTTTTTATATGACACTCGTGATGTTACTCTTCCACAAATGATTCTTAATGATTAACAGGAATTTTATGTAGCATATACGTGATTTAAATATCAGTGTTTCATTTTTAAAACTATTTAATACATATATTGCATGTATTGTAATCATGTATGTCTTGGAACGATTGCTTTTGTACTACTTTTCATTCTCGTGTGTCACATAACAATACTTGAAGTGGATCATTTCAGAGAGCTAAATCTCTTACAATGACCTCAAATCTATCGCAGTACAATCTGAAAAGTACTGGTAAGATTTTTTTTTCTTTTTTTTTCTTAAAGGAATTTTATCTGCGGATGTATAATTTTTTATCCTTTTTTTTGTTGCAAAATTCATTGTTATTGAATATTTGAAAATCAATGTAAGGTTATTTGTCCTTTAAAAAATAAAGAGAAAATGAACTTCGTAGTTTTTGAGGTTTTGATATTTTACTTCAATATATTTTGATATCTGTTAAATGATCATATTCTTGAGGTGTAAATAAAAAAGTGTATTGTTGCAGGTGTGAAAAGGTTAATGAAAGAAGCGGCTGAATTACGCCATCCGACGGATATGTACTATGCTCAGCCACTTGAAGTAAGTGTATAATGAAATGTTATAAAGGCTGAATGCTTGATTATTCGATAAATCATTCGATGTGATTTTAGCCAAGTAGTTATACTGTCATCGGGTTGAATTAATTGTAGGTTAATTATATCAAGCAGTTTAATGAGTTTTTTTAATATGTATTCAATCTGTGTATGAGCTATATTTGATATAATTTACGAATAATGAACTGAATAGTGGTTCATGGTACTTCTAATACTTCATTTTTTGGGTTTTTTACAATACTATTCCGAAATTAAAGAAAAAAAATTTTCAGGATAACTTGTTTGAATGGCATTTTACTGTCCGTGGGCCAGCCGATACGGACTTCGAAGGTGGTATTTATCATGGACGAATACTTTTGCCAGTGGATTATCCTATGAAACCACCAAGTGTTATACTCCTTACTGTAAGTTTGCAAATTCTGATTTTCAGAATTGTTTGTAGAATGTCTCATTCGACTTTCTGAATTGTTATTGCGATTTGTCCAAACTGTAATATCTTGATTTTATCTAATGTTTATGGCAAAACGACTTCATTAGCAAAATTCTGAGAAAAAATTGCGATATATGTTATTGTTGGCTTGTTTGCAGCCGAATGGTCGCTTCCAGTTAAACCAGAAGATATGCCTTAGCATCTCAGGTCATCATCCTGAATCATGGCAACCATCGTGGTCTAGTAAGCTGTTCCAGCATTTATTTGCAAAATAGTCAACTATTAGAATAACTAAACAACGATATTTTTAGACTTTTATAATAAACTTTGAGTGTCATATAGGCGATAGTTTTACAATTCTTTCAGCCAAATTTCAGTTCGCACCGCACTTTTGGCTCTTATTGGTTTTATGCCTACACATGCAGCTGGTGCACTAGGCTCATTGGAGTACCCACCAGAAGAACGCCGGAAGCTTGCTAAAATGTGTTTTTAGTTTTTTTTTTTTATTTACTTTACGGAATTTTATATTTAGAAAGTGAAGAAAGACGAAAGATTTTCACGTTTATTTGATATATTTTTCTCATTTCCTCTTATTGGTTACATGGATATATTTCTCAAAGCGACATGGTATCATAAATTGATATATTTTGGTGAATTTCAGAAGCCACGAATGGGTTTGTAAAGAATGTGGGCTTTGTATGCGAAATGCATTAGCAAATGGAGTAGTATATGGCGATAACGGGGATGCTATAGAAGCGCGGCGTTTAGCTACACAGATTTCGATTAACGTTAGCAAATATTTTATCAACATTAAAGCTTAGATGCAATATAATATTCTTTCATGCTATTAAAAATTGCATTTTTTCTTTATTAATTTTGTAAATTATCATTGGTATCTTAACTGACCTATGAATTGGAGAGAATAATGTTTCATTGGCTTTGTCAATTATTTTGAGCGCGCTGAATTCATGGTCATATACGGAACGCTTTTCTATCATTAATTACTGGAAGACGTGTTATGCAGGATAATCCAAATGGACGCTGCATTTGCACTGCTCTTCATCTTTATTTTTAATTCGACTATAATGCATTGAAGTTAAATAACATTCGAGCCATTTCTTACAGGAAGACAAGGAAGGAATGGATAATCAAAATTTACTCGTCACAAGTGATGTGGCACTAAAAAATGATATTGTCACGGACGGTTCTGCTGTTACGTCTGGAACTTTACGCCATAGGCGATCAGCTTCCCAATCACGCGCAACATCCATCACCTCTGCCAGCAGTGATGATTTAGAATTAGGATCACATCGCTATTCCTGGCAGTTAATTTTTATTTGGTTCTTTTCTGTGATTGTCATAAGTTTGATTTTAAGAAGATTGTTTTTTGTACGAAATGGCGCAATAGCTTAGTATAGTTTACTGAGTGAAAGAATTATTATATGTTAGTGGACTCCGCAGAGAATATATATAAAACTTTTTTGGGAGCTTCAATTTCATTTTTGCGAAATTTGAATTGAAAAGTAGGATGAATGCAGAATTGGAACTGATTGATGGTAAAAAAAATGAACTTTCATTAGTGATCTATCGATCAGTTGAATGAAATGGATGATGTGATAATCAGGAACTATTTGCGAACAGTCTTATTAATATGCTTTAATGTCTATCTCCATAGTACGATCATTTAAATATGTTATTAAGAATGTACTATGCTAAATAATTTAGCAATTCTGATTGTCATAGTAGTACGGAAAAATAATTCCTGGCGAAATTTATTAGTTATCATAGCGATGATATGTCTTTTGCATTTATATGAGGACGTATCTTTTACCATTATATTCTTTTGTCGGGTTTTAATTTAATTTGAACTCTCTGTTTTCTATTGTCAATAAGTCTAAAGTGACGATAAATTATTAGAGAACATGATGGCTGAACAGGTTTTATCACGCCAAAAAGAAAAAAGACGGAAGAAAGTGGAATACTTGATGGCCTATCCAATAGGTGAATTCCTGTAATATCGCTGAACAGTGAAATTTCGGTAGGCGAAATTTGCAGTACAGCTGATCTTTTTTGTTGTTTTTCATAAACAGAAATAAAACACTTGTCTAAAAAAAGTAGAACTTCTTTGGCTTTTTTTAAAGATGCTTACTGAAAGTTTAGAAATTTTATATTCTTTCTTCTTCAGCTCTCCTTAAAAAAATCCATTTTCTTTTTTTTGCAATTTAGCAATTCTCAATGTTTGTCATCTATTATTTTATATGCATAAAAGTGATGTAATATGCATACAGTGTAATAATTTTTAAGAGTTTGATTAATGACGAATTATATTACTTTGATAGGAAAATATAAGTTTTATGTAAATGGTCAATTCTTTTACTGGTAATGAATTGATCCACTCAGTTTCTCCCTGCCTTTTTTTCTTTTGAATAAAAGTTTGAAGTCTTTTCGAAAAAGTGTCATGGTTCATTTTTTCCAAAAAGGCTAAAAAAAAAAAATAATCTATGCTATGACGTCATTGTACTAAACATGTTACCAAAATCATTTTTTCTCCTACAGGTAATCGGTTAGTTTCCACTTTTCATTTTTGTTTCGCCCGTTAATTGACAATTTTCTTTATTCATTGTTATGTTACCAAAATCATTTTTTCTCCCACAATACATTTTGCTATTTTTTTTCATAAGTTGCATTCAAAAATTCCTTGGTTTGATCATTGTATAAAATTCGTAAATTTTAAAATATAATTCAATAAAATTAAAAGTCCGAAGAAACGGAGCCATAAATTGGTTGAAAGCTCAGGTAAGAACTACTAATGAATTCATGTCATTCCCAGAACAGATAACTATGAAGTTGAAAGTTTACTTCAGTCCTTATTTCTGGTGAATTAGATACTGATTCGGCATAATACGAAAAAATCCCAATTACTCTTTTAGTTAGTGAATTGTTTTATTGATGTAAAGTCTTTTGATACTTAGTGATAAATTTATGTACAAAAAAAGTAAAGACTGCAAGCTTTCAATCGATTTATAGCGTCGTTTTTCAATAAATTCAATTTTACCTCGGGTAGCATCTTTAAACCAAGTAATCTTTATGATGATCGGTCTTTGCAGTATATTATTAAAATCCCAACCGAAACAGTCTCGAAAATATTGTTGTTCAAATTACGTGAAGGGAGAAATAGAAGCGGAGATGTTTCCATTCATTAATTTTGTTGCCCAATATTTCAGTTGTGAAATTCATAAATTTATTCTTAACAATATATGATTATTACGCTAACAACCTGATGAAACTTAACAAAAAAATGACACACTGAAATATGAATTAAATCTAACAATAATGCAGTTTAAACGCTCTCTAGTCTGATGCATACAAATTTATATTACCATTATTTCAAATAGATTATTGTCTTTAATTAAATTTACTACTGACATTTTCCTTTTTTTGACCAATAATTGTTCAATCCAATTCTCGCTGGATATCATTATCATTTTCAGTCGTGATATTCCTGTGCGTCTCAATATTATCATTATTTTCCATATTTTTGGAACATTTACTACTATCAACG